GTGGGGGGTAGGGGGGATAAGAATTAATACAAACTTAAATTTGATCATATTAAAAGAATGCATTGCAAGCCAATTGCATTTCCTAATAAACTTTTCAAGTTTTTTTCAATCCCCCTTTGCTTGAAACTTATTATATCAGAGTCTTGTAATCGCAAAGAGCTCTCCTGGCATCAAAGTTCTACTTTAGTAATAAATTTTAATATCAATTTATCTCATAATTTAAGAAATAACGACATTTTTCTTTTTAAAGGAAATCCGATACATTGAATAGTTATGTTCAGAATTAATAGTTTTCAATACATTTAAATATATATTTAAAACATCTTTTAGTCTTCGTAATATGTAACATAAATTTCGTAGGACAACATTTGTTTTCCTTCTTTTCCAGCTTTTTGTATCTGTTAAGTGTGTTTAAACACGCTTATCCTTGCTCCTGTGTTTCTTATCCTGTTGAGAATTGACATTTGACCAAATAAATTGTTTTTCAAAATCTTCTAAATTCTGTCTTGTGTGAAATTTAAACTTCATACGCCAAATCTTTTGAAGAACAAACCTTGGTTTTAAATAACCCTCCATTTAAAACAGGACATACCTGATTCACTACGGTACCTTCTAAACATTTATCTGATAACAATATAGAGGACAGTTTTTAATGGTACTGTTGTGAATCTTCCATGCCATCCTATAAATGACTTAAAATTACATCTAGTCCCTTTCATTCTAAAATTGAATGAAAAGAAATATTAATTTATTGTATAGTTTGAAACAGCTCTTCACGTTCTTTATGTTATTATATACATCCTGATAGGAACCCATCAAAGTTTGATAATGGATATTGCTAGGTCCGCTCTCCGCCATTTTAACTGCCCAATACACCTAGATTAAACTCAAAGCTTTTATACTATAAAATATGTGTATTGTTACTATTACTCAGCCATTTGCTGGCTTTACACGCTTAAAAGGAATTTCATATTTTGGTTTGATAATATATTGCTTTTATGTGGATTTCAGTCAGGTTTATCAGGCAGAAATATACAATTGACTGTTAAGACTTCAAAGCACTTTAGACCTTCATTGTTAATGTAAGAAGTGAGCAGAAAATGTTAATTGTGGACAGGAATTTATTTGGACAATTGTACAATTGTACATTAAATGTTATGTATTTTTGTCCAGTAACAAATGTACGGTTTTCTACGGAAAGTAGGAAACAAGGTGTACAGTTTCAAATAGAAATGTTCGCGGATTCCTTGAATTCATTACGTCAAGACTCTTCAAGATAAAGGTCTTGGAAACTTTAAAATTTATTTATTTACTCCAGAGGAAAGATTGAAAAATAACAAATCTTTGATAAAAATATTTTCAACAAATTTCATAAAGAAGAATTTGTATACAGTGACTCTTCAAAATATCATGTCCTAAAATAAATGGGGATAGGACAGGGTGTCCGTAAAATAAATCAATTTTGTATGTTCTTTTTTTTGATTCGTTTTTTTTTCGGGAATTTTTCTGGAACACCTTGTAGTATTCCCCTCTCAACCCTTTTACCGACTTTCTATATTTTCTGCTTCTTATGGATTCTGGAAAATTAATAGTAGTTGTAAAAGGTTCGCGGGCTTTTTTTGACAAATGTTAAGACCACACATAGTTTCTTACTGCACAAGATGCTAAGCACTTTATATGTACAATAGGACCCATAAAACTATAGAATAGAAAGACTAAATAAGTTGATTTTGAAGCTATACTGATACAACTATAGTGTATAACGAACACTGTGCAATACATACTTTACATATGTGATTGTACAGTGAACACGGTACGATGCACATACTATGTATATAGGGAACAGTGTTCAGTGTACATACTGTACATTTGTTCCAAATGTTCCTTGCCATCCCATCCTTCTTTTATAATATCCTTGGTATAAAGCAGCCTGTTCCTGTATAATAGGAACTCATAACACTCTCTTGGAATATTTATGTACCCCCCCCCCACCCCTTTAAACGGGGGATGTTGGGGGTGGGGAGGGGTAATCCCCTTCCCAGGATCTAGGATTAGACTGAAAACTAAAATATTAAAATGTAAACATTGTATTCTTCAACTTTAATATCCTTGTCTCTTGGTTCCAGAACATTTAACTCTAGGTTCAAATATTCACACAGAGTATGCAAGATATTTTAAAATATAAATATCTTGAAATAAAGATATTTAGAGGCCTGATATCTAAAGTTTTAAATCTAAGAATAAGTTTACTATTTCTGTTTTATTCTAGGTGTGACAGTTTAAACTCTTGTACGGTTCCAGTTAGCTCCGCACTCTTTGATGATCCTTGTCCTGGTACAAGGAAGTACCTGGAGATACATTACATCTGCTCCGCCTCCTCCAACCCCTCCCGGAGAACCCCTCTCCCGCCCTGGTTTCACCAGAATGTTTCCCAGCCTAGGAATGATATCTGGCTACAGAAAAGTCACAAGGAAAAGGATTTAAAACCGGAAACAAACTCCGGGAGGAATTTCAATTCTAGGATTCCTATCCTTGTCGCAACTACAACTTCCACACCGAAAAGAATTCCGATAACTACTCCCATTCCGACCACAACAACCACCACAACCACAACCACCACCACCAAGCTTGATGACACAACCCTACCAAGCTCAGATACTGACTTAGTGGAAGATATATCATCTCCGGAGGGAGTTAATGAGGAGGTTTGGGTTCCAGAACTAGAAACTGAATCTGATCTTCCTCCTGGTCTTATCTCCGACTATTGTCCATCTGTCATGGCTAGAAACCTAGTCTGGAGATACACCAAGAGAGGAGGAAACGTTGTCCAACCCTGTCCCAACGGAGCAACTGGGTTGGCCCGATGGTTCTGTACTGGAACCCCGGATTACTCCAAGCATGCTTCTCCAGGTACCCCTGCCCGTTGGGAGACCGCTCAACCTGATATGAGTGATTGTAAATCTGCTGCTATCACGAACCTTGAGGTTAAACTACGTCAAGCTGACCCAGAGAACGTTATTGCTTCTTCCTTGGCTCATTTAACTGGATCCCGCCGACTCTATGGCGGGGATTTAGAATCAGCGGCCGGAGTTATGAAAACCGTCGCAAATCGTCTCCAATACCTGCTCCAGCAGAGGACGGAGAAGTTCTACAAGAAGGAGGCGTATATCCAGGAGATCCTCCTCAACATTGTGAGGTCGGGGAGTAACCTTCTAGACGCTAAGAACGCCGAGGCCTGGGCTGACCTCGATGTAACGCAGAGGATGAAAATAGCAAGCTCTTTGCTACAGGCCATGGAGCAAAATGCTCTTATTTTCGCAGGAGTAACAAATCAACCTGAGGTTCTCATTGAGTCCTCTTACAATATACGTAAGTTTAATTTCTTGAATCAAGGGAAAAGTGTGAACAGCCCCCCACCCCCCAATCCTCCCCCTCCCACTTGGTAAAACTGAAATTTTAGAACCTTTACTACTTTAGAGGGAAACTATTTGCAGTATCAATTTATATTCAAATAGAATAGAATAGAATAAAACAGTAGATATATAATAGAAAAGTTCGTTTTTTAGCAGATATTTTATAAATGTACGTAGCGCGGACATTGTTCCATAACTTTTCTTTTTTATTCGCTCCCTCAATCTACATATCATGTTTGCTCTCCTTAATCGATTACAGCATTTATCTTTTTTTTCACCATTTACTCCCTGAAACGATAATTGGTCAGTAGTTCATTATTCGCTACCTAAAAACTATGTCTCCCCTGGAATACTTTTGCTTTTCATTCACTTTGTGCTCCCTGATTCGCTATTTTCTCCCTGATTTGATATTTGCTCCCTGATTTGATATTTGCTCCCTGATTCGATATTTGCTCCCTGATTTGATATTTGCTCCGTGATTCGCTATTTTCTCCCTGATTTGCTATTTGCTCCCTGATTCGATATTTGCTCACTTATTCGCTATTTGCTTCCTTCCTTACTTCTACCCTTGGTATACTTTTGCTTTTAGTTCACTATTTGCTCCCTAAATACCTATTTGCTCCTTTAAATTATATTTGCTCGCTCTTTGCCACCTCCCTGAGCATTGTTTTGCACAATTCTACATTAGTTCTAGGACATTATTTTCTAGATGATGGGACAGTTACTGAAACCCTTGATTTACTAGGTTCTGAAAGCTTTTATCCTATTTACAAACATGACTTAATGGGCTTAAATATCTCGAGATTATATTGTTTTCTTTTCATATTTGCAACAGTGAGGGGTGGGGGTGGAGGAGAGGTGAGGGGGGGATAAAGAATTGCCCATCCTAGATATCAAATGATATTTTCTTTTCTCTCTTCATTGCCTGGATGAGTGGCTATAAAACATTTTCCTATTTCAGTGATGGCCATTTCTGTTCTAAATGGAAGAACAGTGAGGAACGGAACAGGGTTTCCGCTCAACAGCTACGAGGAACCATTTGGAACCATCGAGGACTCAGTGTTTCTACCCTCCCCCACCCTGGAGCAGAACAGCAAGGACGGGATCATCAAGATTCTCTTCTTCTCCTACCGACATCTCGACGAGATCCTATCCACCTTCTTCTCAACCCGGTATCCAACCCAGGTCCTCAACAGCAGGATTATCAGTGTTACCATGGAGGGGAAGGTGGCGAACCTGGCGGCCCCGGTCCGTATCTCCCTCAAGCACTTGAGGGAGGAGGGAGTGGGTCGACCCACATGTGTCTACTGGGACAGGGAGGCCACGGCCTGGTCAGACGTTGGCTGTGCAGTTGTTGATAGCAACAAGACACGGACCGTCTGTCAGTGCAGTCATCTGTCAAGCTTTGCCCTGCTCATGGAGGAGGAAGCTGTCACCACAGTTGTGCAACTCCCGGATTTTCATGTGGAAATAATTGCGGCATCTGTAGCTGTAGGGCTCATACTTATTTGCCTGGTGGTAGCACTGCGGGTATGTTTTTTTTAATACTTTTTAAAACCTGAAAACTGAAACATGTCTTTTATGCTTTAATTTTCTTGGAAGACCTGGAAATCTTGGTTCCTTGAGTAAACTCAATATAAGTGGAGAGCCCTTCTCACGTATTAAACTTGTCTGACAGCAAGAGAACAGGATTGGAAGAAAACCCAACCAAGTTCTCTTCATTCTAAACTATTTTTAGTTCTCTCTCTGTTGTTTACCTATCTGTCGTTTGCACAGTTTTTCATTTTAGATCTAAAACTTTTGTTTTTGGAAATATTGAAAATAAATGTGCAACACTTCAGTAGTCGCAACAGTTTCAATTTGGAAAGATGAATCTTTAAACTGAGTTATCAGGGCAGTAGGTCGGATTCTAAATACAATATATATAATTTCTTCCCCCTGAGTATTGAGGGGGAAAAGAAAACCTGACTCACACGAAGTTAATCTGAGATTAAAGAAGAAATTGTATTTTCTTTTCAACTTTTCAAAAAGCTTTTTTTCCTCTGGGTTTCTTTCAGTTAAAGAATTCACGAAACCTCGCTACTTATAACTTAAACAGAGAGGTTTCGTGATTAGTATATTATTGGATTTTTACTGCAAGGGTAGGGTTATCAACAATTAAATTTGTTTGAGAATTGTGTGTTTCGAAACTCCTAGCACGTCCTTACTGTACTAACCTCTGTATATATTGTAGTGTCGGAGCCAGGTTCAGAAGGTTCTTCTGTCCCCCTGCTACAAGGAGAAGAAGAAGGGGTTGGACACCTGCTCCAAGAGCCAGAGCTTCTTCACTGGGATGAACGTGATAAACAACGAGAAGAGTCAGACCCTGTCCACGACTCTACCTGAACCTGCTCGGGTAAATAAATTTGGTTTACAGTGGTCAACAAAAAGGGACTGTCAATGCAATTCTAAAGTAACCCAACATTTGTAGAGTGGCATTTCCGATTCACTTCAATACCCTTTAAACCCCTAACTTAGTATACGTGAGAAAGATATTGTAGTTTTCTACAGGGTGTCCCACGAAACATGACAGTTGCTGAATAGTTTTGAATGTCTTCTTTCACATATTGTGTTTATATTAAAGACTTTTTGCAGTTTATTTCTTTAAAAAAATCTTTAACTCATAAATATTTTACTGTGAAATCAATTTTACTATGATAGAACTGTCATATAAAAAATGCTATTTTTATATATTTTTAGTATCAATTAATTTATCAAATTATAGAAGAAGACATTTTAAACTGTTCACCATCTGTCATGTTTCGTGGGACACCCTGTATCTAAAAATGTGCTCAATTCTGTTAATCCAATGTCACCTATTTAATAGATTTACGATGGAAAAACAATTCTTCAAGTTTTTCTTAGAAAAAAGTTTAAAGAGTACTATTGGGAATCAGACATCTCCATCTATAATTGTAGAGTCACGTCTAATAAGAAAACCATGACTATTTATCAAAATCACATATCTAAGTGAGCTAGACGTCTGTCTTTTTCTAATCATCTACTCTTGCATATTTTTGTAAAAAAAAATTTCAAAATTTGAAACATCATAATTATAGTCTTGTTAAATAATTTCAATTTCTCTTCGGACTTTTTAATTATTTTGAGACACCCTGTATTTTCTGGAGTAAAGGTTCCACCAGCTGTCCTCACTTTAATTTGTTCCAGGTTTCAAACTTATCCGCAGAAATCATTTTAACCCGAGCATACAGGGAGTCATTTTATACAGATACAGGGAGTCTTTTTATAAAGGAAGTCCTTTTATATAGGGAGTTCTTTTATGCATGGAGTCCTTTTATGCAGAGAGTCCTTTTATAAATGGAGTCCTTTTATAAAGGGAGTTCTTTTATGCATGGAGTCCTTTTAAAGCTTTGTATAATCCACAGATTTGTGCGGAATTAGTTTAGGAAACCTGGGAAATTAGAAAATTAAAACCGGTTTTAATGTTAGTTTATTTTCCAGGTGTCGCAGTACATGCAGAACAACGGTACCCTGCCGGCCCAGTACGCCCCCTCCTCTATGTACGAAGGGTTTGATAACAGTTCCCAGCTCAGCTATCCCAGCTCTACAATGCCGGTCAACTATCCTAACTCCACCCTACCAGTCAGAGCCCCCTATCCGATACCCGCCACACACATCACCCTTAACCCCTACAGCACCCAGTTGGTTGATAATATCAACCGAATGATGAATGGATCCCAGGATGGAACAATCAACCATATCTACCAGGTTGCTATGAGCCCTCAGTTGACCCATCTGACCAACACTTTAAAGAAGAAGAAATGTCTGGGCGGGCATCCGGGCCCCTGTCATCATAGGAACCAGGGTACCGCTACAACAGACTCCTCAGTCAGGTCTGACTCCGTGATGACCCAGGAGCAGGAGACGGATACAGAGATGATCCCCAGCAGTGCTGAGGTAGTATTCAGAGCTGTGAGTCCACATGGGCATGTGTACTGGGAGATAGATCCTAAACGACCAGGCAGGATCTTGGAGCAAAGTGATTCAGATACAAACAATGATATCCATAACATGTCGGATTTCAGTGAGGAGGACGGAAAGATAATCAGTGATCGGAGCCGTCAGAGCTCCAGTCGGTTCAGTGATAACCGACCTTTGATCTCAACCTTGAACCCAGGACAGATCTCTCTCCAGGTATCCAGTCTAACCCCGCTACCGGAGAATCATCCTAGTCTAATCCAATTCTCTCCGCTCAGGTTTAACTCATTACACCGACCTCAGCAGCAGGTTCAGCAGGATCCATCAGGGTTCTCCACACGAACCCGTCTAGGACGTCATCCTAGACTCCGGGGTAGCATGGAGGCTATCCAGGACGAGGAGCACTGTATCCCGGAGCAGGTTCAGCAGCAGGTTCAGATTCCTGATCTCCGACGGATCCCTGTCTCCGTCAAGAGTTCAGAGTATATCATGGCTAAAATACAAACTCATATTGATCATCAGAGAAAACAAGGAAGTCCAGCTCATGGAACCAGAGAACGGAAAGTTTAAACACTACTCATACTGCTAATCCTAATGCTTCTCCTACTTCTACCCCTACTCCTTTCCCTACCCCTACTCCTACTCCTACTCCCACCCCACAGTTGATTCTGTGTAAGTCCTCATGCTATAAGTGAATTCAAGAACTTTTTTCATAAAAGTATCAAATTTTAAAGTTTACTTTTGTTGTTGTGAAGGCTGTGAATGTTAGTCAGGTGAAAATGCGTCAAAATAAAAACAGACGCTTCGCGACGCAATAATACGGACGCTAATATGAACTGCAACAAAAATGCATTGATTTCAAAAACACTAACTTTCAATATTCACTCAGAACGTTTCAATTGTTTGCAGCTGATTAATGATTATTTCGGGTATTATCGTAATTATTATTGATTATTATTGATTATTATTGATTATTATCATGAATGCATAGATTATTTAAACTGTGCGTTTAATGGATTATTATATATTTGATTAATTTCTCTTACTGTGATAAATTTATAAATAGAAATGAAAAAATAGAAATAAAGGTTTATAAGTTATATTCTTTACTTTTTTAATATTTAACTATATAATGTAAAGTAAAGTGGGGCACATAAAACTATGGAACAGGTAGACGACTGTCAAACTCCTGTATGGTCCATAGAATAAAACAGATATTTTGTAATGACTTGAACGTTTAGAAACATGATTTCACTTAATCAGGTGATTTTCCAACGACTATAGTAAACCATTTCCTTATTAAAACATAAATAAAAAATACTTCTTCTTACTAATACTCATACAAAAAGGTATTAAACAAAATCTGAAAAAAGATGTTGAAATTAATATAGCTTGGACTAAAAAAGAAAACGAAACATTTCATGATACATTCTGATGAAAATGTGACCTCGCAAGCCGGTCATAGCGCCATTTTCGGAGTATCCCAGGTGCTGACAAATCCATAGAATTTGAAGAATCACAAAAAGTAATCTCAGCTATAGATAGATATCGCGAATTGGAATTAAATGAATCCGTAAGTCAGAGATCCCAAGATTCACAATACAAACTATTATTGCAAAAATACAAACTGTTATTGCAAAAATACAAACTATTATTGCTAAAAAGTGGAAACTAAATTTTCTCTTATTTTGAGTTTGAAGCAATGAATAAAAAATTGAAAAACTACAAATCCAAAAGATTTTATGGCCAAGAAAATAAGTGAAGAAATATTGAATAGAACAGGCAGGTCTGCCGCTTTAATAATTGTAAATTGGCGGTACAGTCCAAACTAGGACCGCAAATGTTGACCCAGCCCGGCTATTCAAGTGTACACCAGCTATGCGTGAATAACACAAATAAAAAGTTAAATGCAATTAAATGAATTTGGCAAATTTAATAATGAAGTTTTGCTCTTAAAATTTTCACATCCGTAAAAAATGTAACTTAATCTAATACGAAATTTAATATGTATATATGAAGAAATCCCAGATCAGGGTGAAAAAATTAGCAACTAAAAAAAACATCCTAATTGCTAGTGACAGATATTTTTTCTTAAATCATAAAGTTTTTGCTCTAAAAATTTGCACATCTCTAAAAAATGGAGCAAAATAGGTGAGTTAGGACAATATACAAATATACGTCAGAACATTTTAACGGATTTAACCTCAAAATTATTTTTCCCTAATCTAATGAGAAATTTAATGTGTGCTGAGTAAAAATCCCAGTATGGGGTGAAAAAGAATTTATCAACTAAAAGAATTACATTTTTTGCTATAGAGAAAGATAGTTAGGAATCTAGAAAAGGAATGACACATATACCAACTAACAAGCTTGGGAAGAAATCTTGATATCGAAGATAGAGGAAAAGTTGGTTTGTGAGATAGAGATAATGATGATAGATAGATAGTTGTCAGGCAGATAGTATCTACACTGTCTCAGAGACTGAAACATTTAATCATTATCTTAGAAACCATCAGTCACAGCCCTTATACAGATGGTTTAGTCAAACAATCAGAAATCGCAACTTTTGTTAATATCTTTAAAAAGAACTAATCCGTTTCTTTTGCTGATTTAACAGTTCGGTCCTATTCTCACAATCTAGGGTTTTCGATCACAATTGGACCTATTTAACTTAAACTTTTTGCATTTTTTTTACATTTTTTGTCGGCGAATGAGTTTCAAATAAAAAACCATAAAAGAATAAGTTAAATTTCAAGATTGTTGAATTATAGACCAAAATGCGGATGAATTCAAATTGACAAAAAACGAACCTGTGGTGATATTAATTTAATAATATCAATTTGAATTTTATCGTTTTTCATACACTTTTAACGTAATCTCGAGATTATGTTAGTCTGGGGATTATCAAAAAGAGAGGATTAAGCATTAAACCTGATATTCACCATTCTCAAGTTCCCAGCTCTGAGCTGAAAACTTTAGAATGGTGGATATCGAGATTAATGCTTGATCCTCTCTTTTTCTTAATATCGAGACTAAGATAATCTTGTACTTGTATCCTAAAAAGTGTATAAAATTCAACCAATCAGAGTCTTGTAAAGAAGCCGATAAATTTGAAATTTTGCGCGCCATTTAAGATTAGTATACAGAAACGGGAGGAACTCTCTAATTTTAAAAACCGGTTTTTGATTTTTTCTTATAAATCCAAGAAAGAACGGTTTTAGAAGATTAAGTAATCGGGATTAGGGATATCTCATTCTAAATTTTTCAATTTAGTCTCATTCTAAAGTTTTCAGCTCTGGTGACATAGAAAGTTATGCGGAATATTAAATAAACTGTTTGAGAATCTAAGACAAAATATGAAAACTTAGCTAGAATTAGAAACATTCCCTACAGAGTAATACTTTGTATGTTTACATAAAGTAAACAAATACATTGCAGTACTATATATATCTCTTGTTGTTTAGTTTAAGGTGTGCATGGGATAATATAATATAGGAAAATACTAAACTTGAAGAATAATGTGACATTTCAAGATATTCAAACCCTGAAGGTACACTATATACTCTTCTATACTAAACAGGGGGTTCAAATAAACATTGGAATTTGTGACGACCTTCAAATTAGAATGCAAATAAAATAAATAAATATTAAAAATGTTAAATATTAAGTCTTAGTCTTCATTCTTAAAAATTGTCTAAATCTCCTAAGTCATTTCTTTCATTTAAATAAAGAAACTGTGGACCACCTTTTAGAATACCCGGCTATGAGTTGCAAAGTGGAAAACTTTACCTTCCATTAGATATCAGAGATGAAAGACGATTTTGATGTTTATTGGGACACACTTTATATAGTTTTGCACTAAACACTAAACACGATACCAAACCCCTAAACTTACATTTACAATAAAATAAAGCCTATTGGGAGCCATTGAAGCCACCAAAGAGAGCCAAATAACCTTCGATGGAGTCAAAAAAGAATCTTCCAGGAGATTCTTTAGAATGATCAGCTCCGTAAATATTTTGGCGTTGAAGTTCTTGTAATAATTATCATAATTATAGCATTTAAATTTAATTTAAATTTAAATCTATAGCGCAAACATTCCAATCCAACAGGATAAATTCAAATGTCGTCTTTAAAAATATATTTGCTCTTAAAAGCTGGGGTTTTTGTAACCTTGACCCCCCAATCTCTCTCTGTCATGCCTAGTCTTTGCCTGGCAGTAAATATATTTCATAGGTTCCAAACTTCACCGCATGGTGTCTCTCATATTCTTCATGAATTGTTATATTTCCAGACTGCTCAGATTCAATTCTTAACCTTATCTTTTTTTCTGAACAAAAATTTGCCAAAAACTCAAATTGACCTGAAAACGCTGTTAAGAGTTTAAACATTAAGGATGTTCTGTATCATTTAAATTTCACAGACACAAATGTTTAAGTCAATCAGATTTTATTTATTACTGTAATATTTTAGTCAAATTCAGTATAACTTTATATTGTCTAGAAACATACATCTTTTATTGAATATTTGTAAAATTCGAGCAAAGTGGAAGTAAAAGATCTATCAATATATCTATCTATTAAAAAAATTGCCCCCCCCCCCCAGTCTAAAACTTCATTGCGTCCCCAGGGAAGATGCATTATGGCTTCTGTAAAATATATGTTTGCAAAAGCATGACAATTTTATGAACTGCCTTATTAACTGTGCAACTATAGATTCAATCTTATATGAAATATATCTTTTCTCTGATTTATACAATACAAATATCTGGTGTCTCTTTCCTTGCAGACAAAAACATTCTTTTAACAAATGTTAAACAACGGTCAAAATTTTTTTTTAACTCATTATTAAATTTAAATAGTTTTAAACGGACTGATTGAAGGAAATTTTTTCTAAAAATTATTCTAAAAAATTATTGAGATTAGAAATATATTTGTCTAAAAATATATGTTGAACAACAGATTCCCCAGACCGTACCACATATTTTTCAAAAAGTATGAACAGAATGAAGAACTGCTTCCTATATAAGTAATATTTGTGGAAACTATATGTGTTTACTATTGTGGTGCAGTATGTATTTAGTATTGTGGTGCAGTGTGTGTTTACTATTGTGGTGCAATATGTGTTTACTATTGTGGTGCAGTATGTGTTTACTATTGTGGTGCAGTATGTGTTTACTATTGTGGTGCAGAATGTGTTCACTATTGTGGTGCTGTATGTGTTTACTATTGTGGTGCAGTATGTGTTTACTATATTTTGGTGCAGTATGTATTTACTATTGTGGTGCAGTATGTGTTTACTATTGTGGTGCAGTATGTGTTTACTATAGTGGTGCAGTATGTGTTTATTATTGTGGTGTAGTATGTGTTTAATATTGTGGTGCTGTATGTGTTTACTATTGTGGTGCAGTATGTGTTTAATATTGTGGTGCAGTATGTGTTTACTATTTTAACTATGATCCAGAGATTTTAAATCAAAGTTCAAAACTGTTTCCATCCATCTGTATATATCTCAAGATAAAACTGAATATATTTCTGGAAAATAAATAAAAACAAATCTCAACCCTAATCCCTCCCTTCACCCCCCCCCCTATCCGCAGTTCCCTGGGGCACAAAAATCCATTTCATATTTTCTGAAAATATAAAATGAAGAAAATATAAAGAAAGTAGATCTCACAAACATACTTGGGATCATTCAAGAATTTTTTTTAAATGCACAAATAAAATTTCAAGTAACCTTCTATTTAAAATCATGTCAATCAATCTAATAAAACGTTTTAATTGTAAATGAAATAAAAAATATTTACTTTCGAATGTTTGAAAACCATAAAAAAGACGATATTTTCTAGGATATATAAAACATATTTCTTATTTTCAAAATTGAAATGTTAGTTTATCGGAAACCAATATATGGCCATGAGACCAGGAGACTATATATAAAAATATATATATATCTCACCTATAGAATATCTAAAATATGTTTATCATATTCAATTCAGAATATAGTTTATAAAAGGTTCTATTTCAAATATACAGCGAAACTGAACAAACTCTTGAGAAAA